GAGGCGCAGGACTCCGCCGAGCGGAACGCGTCCTCCGAGGAGGACCGCGCCGCCGAGCAGGCCCTCCTGCACCTGCCCTTCGCCCTGGTGGCCGAGCAGAGGCGCCTCGACGACATCCTCCGGAACCTGTCGCAGCAGCCCGAGGAGCTGCGCGACCTGCACAGCAAGCACCTGGTGGCGCAGCTGGCCCAGGAGATCTTCCGCCGCCCCGCGGAGCGCCCGGACGCGCTCCCCAAGGCCTCCGCGCGAGGGGCCCCCGCGGCCGCCCCCCCGCCCAAGCACGTGTCCGGCTTCAGCGGCGCCCTGCGGACCCCCCCCTCCTCCGCCGGGGAGGCCGGGCCCGGCTCCCGCAGGCCGCAGCGCAAGCCCTCCATCCTGCGCAAGATCTCCGCGGCCCAGCAGCTCTCGGCCTCGGAGGTGGTCACTCACCTTGGGCAGACGGTGGCCCTGGCCAGCGGGACGCTGAGTGTGCTGCTGCACTGCGAGGCCGTCGGCCACCCCAGGCCTACCATCAGCTGGGCCAGGAACGGAGAAGAGGTTCAGTTCGGTGACAGGTGAGCCTTGTAGCTACCTGGTCTAGGGAGGGATGGGAAGGGGGGGAAGGCCGGGGGCCACACCCGGCCCAAATTGCCCCTCACAGACCCTGCGAGGGGTTTCCAAGGGTAGGGCCTGGAGGCGGGCCTCCGGGATCCCATCCTGGGTTCCAGGCCCTCTCTCAGCACTGGTAAATGGTTGGAGCATAGACAAGGTGCTTGATTTCTCTGAACTGTGTGGTCCCCTCTTTAAAAGGGAATAGCAACACTGCCTACCCACCCCCAACGCCATAAAATCCCAAAGGTGAATGAGGCCCTCTCTGGACAGCTTTGAACTTCTGGCAGAAAGATATCATTCCAGGTCAAGGCATTATGTTACTGTTCTATGAGGTGACCATGGAAAGGTTTTGACACCAGGACACTGCCTCCGTGTGTGGTCCCCCAGGGCTGGGGAGAGAGTGCAGCCGGTACCTGCTGTCCCCATGAGTAAGCCCACCCTGTGTCTGGGCTGGACAGAGCTATGTGTTTCCCATCGGACCTGTGATGAATTATCCTAACGTCTCTTGATGTCTCAGTTTTGATGTGTCATTAACAAGATGACAGCATGTGTCACTTACTGGTCTCCTCGGGCCATAGCCATTCATAACGTAAAATCAATAGTGAGTAGTAGTAACAATAATAACAATATTCGTGGGCCGGGTGCGGTGGCTCAGCCTGTAATGCCAGCACTTTGGGAGGCCAAGGTGAGAGGATTGCCTGTGGCAGCACCCGCCTATAGTTCCAGCTACTTGCAAGGCTGAGGCGGAGGGATCACCAGAGCCCAGCTGGTCGATGCTGGGGTGGCCGTGAGCGTGCCGCTGCACTCCAGCCTAGGCAAAGGAGTGAGACTCCTACTCAAAAAAAAAAAAAAAAATATATATATATATATATATAATTTGTGAACCACTACCATACTGTCTACATCCATTGTCTTTTGTAATCTTTACGATGGCCCTGACAACAACAATGATAATCAGCATTGAGTAGTGTCTATCTGTCAGGCAAATGTAAACTCTGTATGTGTTTTATCTCGCTGAATAATAGTGGGTACAGTATTTATCTATACTTCCTAGAAGAAGAAACACAAAGTTAAGTGACTTGCTAAAGGTCATATTTTTTAGGTAGCAGAACTAAGATATGTGACAAAAGTAAGCTAGGAAGTCACTTAAAGAGCCATTGAATCAGGCTTCCCTAGTCTAGAGCCCTCATTTTAACCTTTTATCTTCTTTGAATCCAAGTATAAAGCTCTTTTCATTAAATCGACATTTAAACGCTATCGTTTGACTAATCCTCTACTCTAGCTCGCTTGCTTCAGGCAAGGAAGGAAAGAGGCCAGCCGTTATTGTGCTAGGCACTACGCCAGGCTTATTTATTAGTAACTGCATTAGTTATTCTAACAATCAATCAGCACTATTGATATTATCCTCCAGTCTTAACATTGATGACTGAGGTTCAGCAGCTCACCCAAGGTCACACTTTAGCAAGAGCTGGAATACGGATTCGGAATCAAGTTTATTTGATTCCAAGGAGTGGTTCTGTCTACTCTTCTGAGACTTGGCAAACAGGTATAACTTTTGTCCATCGTGCACACATCTCTTGTGCCCTTGAAATGTCAGTAACATTGCCTCTCAGCCTTAGTTCTTAGAGACCAAGTAGCTTTAATAACAACCCTAGTGGGGCGCAGTGGCTCACGCCTGTAATCCCAGCACTTTGGGAGGCGGAGGCAAGAGGATTGCCTGAGTCCAGGGATTTGAGACCAGCCTGGGCAACTTGGCAAGCTGTCGTCTCTACAATAAGTCAAAAAAAACAAAAAAAATCAGCCGGGCATGGTGGCACATGCCTGTAGTTCCAGCTACTTAGAAGGCTGAGGCGGAAGGATCTGGTGAGCCCAGCAGGTCGAGGCTGCAGTGGCTGTGAGCATGCCACTGCACTCCAGCCTGGGCGATGGAGTGAGACTCTCACTGTATTCCAGATATGGAGCTCGGTGCTCTAAATGCACCATCTTGTTTAATCTTCCCCCAATACCCTGGGTACTATTATCGTTACCACATCCTTAATGAAAAGCTGAGGCACAGATGTCCAGCCTGTACAGAAACCCTGGGAATGGTCTGAAGGCAAGCAGCACACTCTGAGAACCCATGCTCTTAGCCTCTCCTCTTGTTTACCCCCAGGTACGCCCCAGTTCATACTTTCCAAGGATGGCTGAATGGCTATGAGCCCTGTAACTTTCTCCAAAAATCTTTTAACGTGGTTGTAAAGATTACAGTCAAGTAGTAGCTCCAGTGTCAAGCTCCGGTGTGATGAGTGGTGCCCTGATACTCAGGTGGCTAGTGCCCTGCAACTCACTCCTACCAGTGCACCTGTGGTACCTGTTGCACCCACATCATGCCATCTCCTGAACCGGCCAAGTCAGTTTCTCAAGTGTAGGTACTAAGTTTTATTTATATCCCTTGGGCCTGTTCCCAGGATCGGTACTATCAGAATTGAAGGGAATCACAGCTGACTATGTGAGGGAGAAGATCGGAATTAACGTCTTCGTCTTCCCTCCTAAAAAGCTGTGGAACAAGACAAGGCAGTGGGAAAGGGGTCATCAGGACTGTGTTCCATCTTTGCCTGCAGAGAGAAATCCGAGCCCTTGGCTCACTCAGAGGTCCTGCCTGACATTTTGTTTGAGTGCTGAAGACTTTGTATGAAATCAAGGATCTCGGCCCACCTAGGTCACCTGGGGATAGAGGAATGATGTGGAAGGAGCTACACAAAGATCAAGGGGTTCAGGCTGATCTTGCCAAGGCTGTTCACTCGTCATGGCCTTGATCTCTCTTCGTTTCAGAAGTGAAGGGCTGTATGGATCATCTCCAAAGTCCCTCCTACCTCCTTCCCTCATCCGCAGAAGGCCACAGCAGTTTATAACCCCTGTGTTCATGGGGGAGAGCCTTGACCACAGCCACTTCAAAAGTTGTGGCCCAAGTTGTTTCGGAGGGTTCCACAAACAGGGATTCCGTCATCACATGAGTCTGAGAGTGTTCACTTAAAGATAAACAGATGTATTGGCTGCTGGATTTTATGTCTATTTTTTTAATATAGCACTTGATTTTTTTATTGTAAAAGTAATAAAGGCACTATAAAACAATCCAAATAATATCTAAATCTATTAAAAGTACAAGTCTCCCTCATCCCCACAATCCTATTCCCCAGAGGCTATTATTGTTAATAATTTGGTATACAGCCTTTTAGAATTTTTATATTTTTATTGTATTAAATAAAAAGCATGTACGCACATGTAGTTTTTATTTATTTACTTATTTATTTGTTTTTTGATGGGACATTAGTCATGTTCCAAATCTGAGTCAGTTTTTAATTACCAGCATGTCTAGGAGATGTTTTCCTGATGATATAGGTCTCCATCACCTTTTTAAACAGCTGATTACTATTTCTAAACGTATTTAACTATCCTACAACTGAAAATTACTTGTTGTTTTTTTTTTTTTTAACTCTTTTAAGCATTCTGATGTGTGTTGTGACTTTCCAAGGAGACAATATCGTATGGTGTTTTCAAAATTCTCCTTTGGCTCAGCAGTCTTGGAAACACCCATACTTCTTGAAAGAGTTCTTAGGAAACACTACTTTAGCCTTTTAATTTTCACCTTAATGGGCATTGAGAGTCCAACCCCAATAGCTTTAACATGGATAAGATTCAGTGGAATCTTGCTAGAAGAAGAGACGTGGCCGCCAGGGGCTAAGGATATTAAAGGTGATGGCCGAGCACTGCAGAGGGCAAGTCCTGGATCCTCTGTCATCTAGGACACTGTTAAGGGCGGGGTAGCATTGAAAGGGAAGTCACCAGAGGGACGTGGATAAATGAGTTTTGCCACCATCAAGATTTTTTTTTTCTTGCTCTAGCCTTGACAAAGCTTTTCAATACAAGTTAATGGCATGTAGTAGGAAAGAATAAGAGATTTCCATTTCTGATCACTGACATAATTTTTTCATTTTACTAGTGAGTAAGAAATATGGCTGGAGCTTAGTTTTCTGTAGTTTTTCAAGTTCTAGTTCAAAAAAGAGAGTGGAACGTATCTGCACTGAGCATGCAGGAGGCACAGAGCTGCCATTGGAAGTGCTTTGCTGTTGGTGACCTCCTCAGTGCTGGGTTTCATTGCTTGTCATCATTACTGTGTCTGGTAGCAATTCAGGAATACGCATTTGTTTTCAAACAAAGAAGTGCTGAAATGCCCAGTGTTATAGTTCAGTTAGTCTGTTTTTGCTTAGTGCCCAAATCCACCTTTCTGAGAGTCTGCGAGATTCAGCTGCTTGTTGGTCTGTAGGACTTCACAGTTTATTAAAGAATACTCCAAATAGCCTGCACCAGCACAGCAGGTCAAAGTAGGAAAGAAGCGACTGAGAGAATTCTGTTACTTCCTTGACTTTTAAATATGCCACAGCTTGATTTGAAAGAAATTAGTTTTTCAAAAGAACCATTAATAATTCAGATATTATTGTGTCTCATCATAAATATAACTTACTAGTTGAAATTAATTCATAGAATTCTTAGAAGTACATGTCAATGTCTCAAGCAATGGTTTACGGCAGAGCTTCTCAGACCCTGGGCCAGGGACCCGTACCAGTCTGTGACCTGTTAGGAACCAGACCACACAACAGGAGGTGAGCAGCTGGTAAGAGGAGCTCCAGTCTTCTGTCAGATCAGCGGTGGCATTAGAGTGTCTTAGGAACGTGAACCCTATTGTGAACTGCGTATGCAAAGGATCTAAGTCGTGCACTCCTTATGAGAGTCTAATTCTCTAATAATCCCTCCACCCTGGCTGTGGAAAAATTGTCTTCCACAAAACTGGTCCCTGAGGCCAAAAAGGTTGGGGACCGCTGATCTAGGGTATCCCTTGAGTGTATTATGACAGGCTGCTTCATCATAATCCCTGCTTCCTTTTTCCTTCGTTCTGCAAACATTCTCATGCCTACCCTAAGCCAGT